GTGGGAGAACTTGCACAATTGGTGGCTGACTAAATACTTTTTTGCCCCACTGTATATGGAAACTTTGAAGGAGAACATTGGAATGAAGTCCCTTCTACCTGGTCAGGAGACCCTGCAGAATAACACAGATGGAAATATTGCTCATGCATAAAGGAACCTATTTTCTTGATACAGGATCCGTATTCCAATATTTTGTTCTGAAAGATGCTGGACAGAGCCCAGAGTGTTGTGTGTTGGATAATCATATGTTCTCTGGTGCCAGAAGCCTGCTGCAAGAGCACAAATGCTGCAAGAATTTCCACATTTCATTAAACTGCCCAGTTTCAGGATCTCAGGAGACCTGGAGGTGGATAAATAAATATATGCAGGCGAATGAACATTTGCTGCTTTCCCCCCGAGACATGTATTAGCAGCCCTTAGCCTTAGGAGAAGGGCTGCATGTCAAGTTTCAACCATTGCTTTCTCCTTGCTGACTCTGGTTTTTTCAGCTTGTACCTTTCCTAGGAATCCTCTGTTCTCTGCTGGTTTGACTGCCCTCCTCAGTACAAAAGCAATATCTGAGCCAGTAAAGCATCCTCCTGCCCCAGGTCTTGCACAGATCGCTCTGCTCAGGGTCACGATGACCATCACCCTTGTGGAAATAAGTTACTGTACCAATAGCTTAGGGATTAGTAGCACAACACGGGTGCATATAAATGTGCATAGCAATGAGGACTTACTGCAGTTTACTTTCTCAGGTGGGGTGAGCAAGTTCCCCCCTCCCACTACCACTGCACACAACATAGTGAACAGAAGAATTATTCAGAAGCTTACCCTCTTTCCTCAGTGAAGCTGTCTGCCTTTTTTACTATTTTCCAAGTGCTATATATGTATTATTTATTCAATTAAAAGTATATACGTCTCTAATAAAAGCTGGACTAATGGACAAAACAGGAAGATGGATTACTGACATTGTTCTACCTGATCTGCTGGACTAACCAATTAATGCTGTGGATAGTTGACTTCTGCTGTTAATCTATATATCTTTGAAATGGGATGTAAATAGCTAAAATTAAATGGGTGTTACTTGTATCCTGTGAGTTGTTAAGCAAAACAAGTATTTACATTCCCATCAAAAGTGACAAGTGCCCTTCCCTAGTAGCTTAACTGTTGAGCTAGTGTATATCTACACGCAGCATTAGGCTCAAAGTATATTATGAAAGCTTTGCCAATCGAATAGATTAACCAGCAAAACCTCCCATTGATTAATCAGTGTGGCTGCTTTTAAGCAGTGAGCCTGTGAGTAAAAGGTTAGTTTGATTGTGCTAAGGAATAATGAAAAGCAAAAATAAAATACATTTCTGTAATCAATGAATAGTTTTGTTAAACCAATTAAAAATCCAGAATGTTATAATCCATTAAATTTAAGAGTGTGACTCTCTTAGTTTGGAAGCCCCTAGTTAAATTCTGTTTTCAACACTTTCTTAATATGCAATATGAGCATAATATGAACATTTTTGTATGTTGCTCTTCTGATCAGCTGTATTTCTTTTAGCATGTTGGTTTTCAGTTGTAAGCCACTCAGAATCATTTAGGAGTCAGGTGGCCTGATAAATGAATGATGAATGAATGAATGAATGAATGAATGAATGAATGAATGAATGAATGAATGAATGATTCTGTAAGGTTTTTACGGCTTGCTGGGATGATATAGGTAAAGAATATACAGTATAGTAACTAGATGGTAGATTACCAATGGTTGATTATTGGGTTGAAAAGATAATCAACTAACAAAACTTAATTTGGTTGCTAGTCCTGCTTGAAATGCCACTACATGGAAAAGCTCCACATGGCATGCTGTTCATGTGCTGTGGTTCCCCATCTAGGCCTGTTTTCACTACTGCACACCAACAGCTTGGTTATTTTTTGGAGATATGGGAAAAGAAAACCACTACACGCAAATAGTGAGCTTTGTGGTGCAGCCTCCATGCAGTCGCATGTTGCAACTTTGCTGCTTCTTGTATATTTACACTGGACATTTGTTTACATTTTCTCTGGAAGAAAAATCCCAGAAGCAGGAATTGGGGTTCTCATCTCCCTGTTTTTGCCATGAACCCCTCTTCCATTCCTTTGCCTTTTGGGGCTAGACAAGTTGGGAGTGTGCATGCCAATTCCAATGGTTGCCAAGCTTCTTGATTGCAATGCTGATTGTCCACCCCACCCACCCATTCTACCCCATCCCATCCTGGATCCTCAGTTGCAGCGGCTAAAGCAGCTTTTCCAGCGCAAGCCCATGGAAGAGCCCACCCCAGAAGAGCCACAAGCCAACGGGGAGCTGGTCAGCCCCTCAGGGGGACCCATCTACTACATCTATGAGGAAGAGGAGGAGGAGGAGGAAGAGCCTGAGCCACCACCTGAGCTGGAGAGACCAGTTAATGACAGACCTCACAAATTCAAGGATCACTACTTCAAGAAACCTAAGTTTTGTGATGTCTGTGCCCGCATGATTGTCCGTGAGTTCTTCTTGAGGGGAGCGAATTGCAAGCAGGGCAGGATGGTGGTTGGGGGTTTGCTTGATCCTCCTCTTGGCAAGGTCCTGGGCCCCTAAGAACAGCAGAGATCCAATAGGCATGGCTCTTTTTCTCAGTGTATCTCTGTGCTAGGGGAACTTCACTGCTGAGTTTCTATATGCCATGCAGTTATTAAAGATGCATGAATCATGCCTGAAAAAAAGTAGCAAAAGTGAGGTGGTGGGATACAGTGAAGATCTGAGTGGTCCTAGGAGGCATATGATTTGGGGCAGTTGCTCAAATGGAGGGAGAAGCTACAGATTATGATTTATGACCAGTGGCAAAATTATAAGCTAACTGTTGAAACAGAGACTGGTATATGCTCATGTGCACATTGTGTGGTGGTTGTTTAATAGTTTAATGTAGGTAGTTATCTCTTGCAGCCATGCTGAAATTCAAAAAGTCCCTGGCTCTCTTTCATAATAAACTATGCATGGTAGAAGAAGATTCTATAAAGAATGGCAGAAGGAACTCATAGACATTCACAGCTACAGTGATGTCAGGTGCATCATGATGTTGTTGTGCAAATAATGCAGTCATGTACTTGTGCCATTATCTCTGGTACAAGTACATAAAGAGGGTCATCTGCATTATGACACACGTGTTATCATTTGCCTCCAACCGCCACCCCTGGATACTTAAGTGTAAATTCAAACCTTACCTGCCCCTCAGTTCTGAAAGCAGTGGCCTTTTTAATCACCCACAATTTCATCCTTCAGGATGGTTGCCGGAAGAGGTGCATCTAAAGCCAAGCCAAAAGGGAAGAAAGTACGCCTGAGGATATTTCTGTTTTTTCCATACTGCTTTTTAAAAAGTATCTTTCAGAACATTGTCAGGATTTATGCATTGCACTGGCCCACTTTTAAAAGTAACACAGGCTACTTCTTCCTTTACAACAAACCTAGTTCCCTCTGCTGAGAAAATGATGATGACCTTAGAGCCAACTCGTAATGGAGGCAGTCCCATGTCAGTCCTCTCCTCCCGTATAAAAGAGAAATAGGAATTTGTTGGGGTTGAAGAGAAGTGTCTGAGCATGGGGGGAATTGCAGTCCAATACATGGCACTACAGTAGGAACATCTTACTTGCTCAAGCCAGGCCGTAGGCCAACCAAGCGGCCTTCTACTGCACTTTTCTGTCCAGGAGGCCAAGATGAGGTGGGGGGGGGGCGGGGGGTCTCAAGGTAAAAGCTAGAAATCCTTTGTTGCCAGAATGATTCTCCAGGCTACATTTCTGATAGAACCGAACATATATAGATTTTCCCCCTGTGGTTTCTGGCAGAACGTTTTAAAATGCCAAAAGGAAGCATATTCAGGACATGCTGATGTTTTATCCTATAGTCTTTTCTGAAAGTAATTTTCCCTCCATCTGGGAGACAAATGGCTTCTTTTTATGCTTTTAAATGGCTTCTCTCTGGCTCATTTAGAAGACATGCTGTGGTGTTATCTATTGTATGATTCCAGAAATGGGGAGAATGTTTTGGGGGGGGGAGGGAGAGAACACCTTAGCCCATAATGCCACTGATTGCCTTTCTTTCTCTTGTAGTCAACAACAAATATGGCTTGAAATGCAAGAACTGCAAAACTCACATCCATCATCACTGCCAAAGCTACGTGGAATTTCAGCGCTGCTTTGGCAAGATTGTAAGTGCCCCTTCTTCGCCCTAGTGCCATGTTCCTGCCCTCTGCCAGTTGCTGTCCATAACATGATCCAATACGACAGGCTGCTGATTGGGTTCTGTGTTTGCTCCATTAGAAGAAATGTGGAAAACACTGAGATATAGAAGGGAGATAACCTTTTTCCAGAAAGGCATGCTAATTTGAAAACAGCAGGATTTCTTCAGCTGCTTTTAATCACTGAGTGTAACAAAAGCTGTATGATCAAGAACCGGTCTATTTCAGGCTGAGTGCTCACAGCTAGAATAAAATTAGATAACATTGGAAGGGTTTTGTTTTTTTTTTTGGTCTGTGTGTATTATCATTGGATCCAGGGTGGGATCAGGTACTGTATATTGCTGAGGTTAATACATTTTAAAATATAGTAGCAGAGCTGAGAATATTGCAAAAGCGTTTTTTAAAGGAATGGGGAAACAAAGCCATTTACTTTGGGGTTGGATCCATCAGTATTTGATGATTTTAAAAAATCCATAACATGAAGCTTGTGGGATGGCTACCAATAAGAAAATTAAAGGAATGGAGTTAGTGTTTAGGAAAACTGTAAATGTTGCTCTATTACGTGGTACAGCTTTATGAAAAAATTGGGATGTTAATGTTTCATGGCCAATGTTGGCCCTTTCTCTTCAGTGGTCAGAGTTGACCCAAAGCTGTTTTGAAAAATAATTTTTATCTTTCAGCCACACCAAAAATATAACCAGTTTCCATCATTCCCTTACATGTCCAAATCACCAGTTTGATCACAGGTTCTGGCTTTGCATTTACCAGCAGTTCTGCCTGGGGTGGAGAGAGGGAGAACAGAAAGAGACATTTTTACAAGTAATGAGAGAGACGAGGACTGCGCCCTTTAAAGCTGAGAGGGAGAATTCTGAAAGGGGGTGTGTGTGCGCTCCTCATAAGAAGAAATAAAAACTCTGCCTCTTCCTGCTTTTGGTGTCAGGAGGGAGGGAGTCAAAGGGGTAAACCTTCTCCAACTTCAAATAAGAAATAAAAATCTCTTCCCCACCTCTGAGCCCCCCAGGCAGGAGAGGAAGGAATAGGAAGTTTTGAAGCAGAGAATTCTCCAGCCAGGGAAGAAATGGAACTAGAAGGAAGGGCACAATGCCATTCATTCTCCCATGACCATTGTGGCGGGGGGGCACATCTGGCACCTCCAAGACTAAAAAGGGAGAGGAAAGAGAAAAGGGGGGGGGAGCAAGGCTGAGACTGACAGGAATCCATAGATCTCCAGCCAGACAGAACTGTTATATAAACATAGAACTTGTGTCTCTAGTGCTCAAGGTTGTGAAAAGAATGGCCAATAATCGGTTGAGTAGACAGGGTGAGGAGGAAACTCCTAAAATTTAACCCTGGAATTCAGATATCATAGGGTTTGATTCCTGTGTTCTGCAGCTTTACCTGCAATAAGACATTTTATTCAGCCATGTTGCATCTGTGAAGCCTCTAATTATTACTGGATGTGGTTGAGTTTCTGGAGAGTTGATCTAAATTGCTATGCCTGGTAAAGTACGGCAGGAAATCATTACTAAAGCTCTGGCCCGGGGAGCAGATTGCTGTTTCCTTACTGCTATGGGTTTTGTGTGTGTGTGTGTATTTGTGTGGGTGCGCCTTTGAGTCCGTTTTTGACCCCTGGCGACTGCCTAGACAAGTCCCTGCAGTTTTCTCGGCAAGATTTCAGAAGTGGCTTGCCCTTGCCTCCTTCCCAGAGCTGAGAGAGGGGGACTGGCCCAAGGTCACCCAGCACGCTTTGTGCCTCAGGCGGGACTAGAACTCACGGTCTCTAGCCTGATGCCTTAACCACTGCACCAAACTGGCTCTCTTATTGCTAGTAAGAGACAACAAACTTGGATAAGATTCCTGAGATCAGAACCAAGAACATAGTTTCTCGCCTCCCCAACAGTTTTGCGTGTGGGTTTGGATTAATGGCTGAGTTTGTATGTTGTAATCTGACTCAGCAGCTCTGCTTGCCTTGAAGCCTCTAAATGATTACACGGAAGAGCTGCCATTTTTATCTTGCATCAGTTCTTCTTGTGCTTGTGTCCAGTGCTCTTGGTGGTATCAACCCTGGGGTCCAGAGTGCTGTGAAAATTTTAACTAGGGCACCTTGATTTAGGAGCTCCTTTGCCACACGTGTTCTACTTCAGTGTTGTTCTACCCACAGTGCACCCACCTCTCTTAGAGGGAAAAATACCCAACATTACACCCACGCACTCCGATAGGCAGGTTCGGTTTAGTCAGGCCACAG